GAGGGCAGAGCGGCTGCGCAGAGGGAGGGGGAGGGGCAGGCCTCCGCGGCGGGCAGGCCGCGGGACGTGGAGGGCGTGGCGGCGGCGATGTCGGCCGCGGTCACGTTCCGATCCGACCAAGCCCTCGACGGCCCTGAGGGGAGCAAGAAGGAACGGCCGTTACATTGCCGTCTCACAAGAGAAGCAACGAGTTGCTGCAAATATAGAGAAGTTAAGCTTAGGTAGGACCAACGTACGGTCGCCAGATTTGGTTTCAAAGCTCAAAAATTTCGCTCAACGGCCACGTTGAGAAAAAAAAGTCAACTGGCTCGAAAGGTATCTTCTTGCTTAAAGTTCGTTATTAAATAAAGCTCCGCTTTTTCTATACTTAGCTGTCACGTCTTATTTTTGCAATTCTTGTTTGTGGATTCCTATGTCAATAATGAATCGTGAGTGGAGAAGCCAAAAATTAGCTACGTGTCCAAAAGACCGACACAAGGTTTTGGTAGGGTGAATACCGAATGTTCGACGCTTTGCGAATTGCATACAACCCGTCCACACTAGACTGCAATTTTCACAACTCTGCCCCAGGCAGGTATCAGCTGTTGACTGTTTCATCGAATCCCATCAGTTAGCTGCCGATTGGATGAAACCGTAAACATCTAATACCTGCCAGGAGCAGAGTTGTATACATCACAGTGTACTCGGGATTCGGCGAACCGTTGCTCAAGATTCGCTGAATGCCGTATGTGTAAGGCGGTTCCGATGGTCCGTGTAAGATCATTAAGGAGTTTATATTTCTCGCGCGCTTGCCATCCATACGATGTGTTGATGCGCCTTAAACACGAACATTCGCGCAGGCAGGACCACTGCTGTTACATCCTTAGTATTTCTGTGGCCAAACGGAGAGTTCACATGTCTTGACCAGAGCAATAGGGCCCAGCAAAATCAGGAGGGGGGCACGTGACTCCCGCGCCGCGGATGTATCGTAATTCAGATCCGGCGTGATATACAGGACCCCTATGGGCCTCGCCCGGGGAACTTCGTCGTACAGCTCACTAGGACGGAGGTCTCTGTAACTTCTCCACTTTATCATTAATGGACTTTTGAATAAGTGTTGCGATAAACATCGTCTTTTAATATCCAGTGAGCTGATTCACCATCCTGCAGTCTTATGAAAAGATATAGATCTCACGAATCCCATTATTAATTAATTGTTATATCACGACACATCAAACTTCACTCGGCACAATGGTATAACATTCCTGGCAGAGAACAAACTGATCCTTTCTCCTTCTGTTGCTCGCTGAGAGAATAGAAAGTCATCTTGGTTCAGCATTTGAAATCATCCTGATGTAAACAAATATTAAACATAGTATTCATCCGCGACTTCTAATCGAATTGAATGATTGCACCAGGCTACTCCTTAATGCTACGAGAGTACACAAACTGTCAGAACCGTACGCTTAACAATAGTCTCGTCTATGATAAGAATAAAGCTCCGATTTCCGGCAGCGACACAGGCATCTCGTTTCATAATCGACCCTTTGCAGACCCGTCCGGAAGCAGTTCATCGCTCAAATCGCTTCTCTCCCTGGTGTAGCACGTTTTCAGCGAGTGCTCACCTTTCTGCGTGGATTCATTACAATTGTCACTCTCGAGGACCATGATGTGCGTTTGGCAAACTATTTAACGTCCAATGTGGGATTTTCTTTAGACTCAAGAGAAACCACGATTATAACTATATTTTTTTCAACTCATATAAATGGGTTACCTCTCTTCCGTTTTGTAAAAGACGATCCTACTACAGCATCCGCCATTATAAAATGATAGGTATGCACAAAAATTAGAATTATTAAAAGACACCACGTCGATCTTGCCATACTAGGCGAACAGAACTGATTACTGGATTGCTCACGGAGCCCAACGTTTGGAACTGCGGTTATGAGTAGACATCGGATGTTAAGGCACTAAAAACTTACGTTTTAGGTTTATTTAAAAGGACACTAAAAGTCTTTTAAATAAGCATTGAGAAAGGCATTCAAAACTCCAGATTGAAGTCAATATGATAAAACAATATAAAGAGAGAATAAACTGTTAATGAAGCATTAGAAAGTGACAGATTTTAGCATCTTTACAGGATTGAGCTCGGTTACTACACTTAGAGACACTGATGAAGTACTTCGCGTGGAGCACGACTCAGACAACTGCGGGCAGAATGAAGACGCACCTCACGCCCGGCAGAGATGGGCTTACCCTGCGCACTTTCCAGAAGAACATCTATTACGGAAAGATATCAATATCGGAAGTGGGGATCATCGTCTTGCTTCCTGAGACACAAGTACTTTGATTACGTTGCGAATCGGTGCCCAGCGGTCACACTCAACCCACCGCACAACCCGGCGCCCGCCGCTCATCCAAGTGTCCAGAGACCACCATTTTTTATTTCATTTGTACAAAGGAATGCGGTACAGGAAATCAGAAGCCACAATGCAAGCTTTTCTGTTTCCAAAATACAGTGATCTGCACACCCAAAACCAAATGCTTCAGTCGAGACAAACAATGGGGATTCGTTACCAGTCGAAAAGTTGTGTGATTAGTAGAACTTAAAATACTTTAAACGTGTGTGTGTAAACATGAATAACATAAAAATTTAAGAAAAAAGCATTTAAAAAGAAAAAGATGTCTAACAAGGCATATGTCACAAAAGTCCAAAAAAAGGGCAAAAAAGCAACAACAAAAGTTGTCAGCATGTTTAGTTTTCCATAATTCATATACATATATTAATTGTGTTTAAACATTTTCATTAGAATAAAATAGGTATTTTCCTAAACATCCGATGAGACAGTTGCCCTATTCAGAGTTTCCAGTAACCGTTCTTTGATAGTTTTTCTTTCTCTAAATCCCTTCTTGCATTTTAAAACTTGCATTTAAACACGGAAATTTATTATTCCGAAAAGAAATATTTTCAGAAACGAAACGTTACACGTATACACCCACAAATCCAAGCAACCAATAAAGAGACTGCATTACGCATGTGAATTTCAAAAACTGTTCAGATTCTGTTCTAATCAGGATCATTCTAAGGCTGAAAAGACTTTAGGAGCAACGATTCCTCGCAATTTCATTGATAATCCTAGACTTCCGCGTAATAAAGCAACCCTGAACCAACGTGCCAGATTCATCTGGCAACAACCTGTCATCATAGATGTCAATTGACGCTCTTTTCTTCATCATTCGGTCGTTTGCAATTGCAACACTAGAATATAGCTTGGCCAAGTCATCCCGTGATCTCATCGTCCGTCCGAACGCTACAAGAAATTACACATTGGGAAGTGCCGCGCTGTTTGTTCTTTTCTATTTTTATTCAATTACCGCGTATATTACTTTTGTGTAAAGTATTGCGTATATTTTATATCTGATTCGTCGCTCGCAGGTAGTCAGTCGCTCGCAGGTAGTCGCCGCGTGCGGACGTCTTTCGAGGAGC